CTGATGTATTGATCTCCTTGCTGCAGCAAACACTAAAATCTCAGGACTCAAGAACTTTCTCAACCATCTTTGTTGAAAGGATTTCCATTTCAAACCTGTGAACATAAAAACTTGTAGACCGCTGTTTACAGAAAGTCTAGAAATTAAGTGTTTTTTTATTTATTCAGTTTAGATATTAGCAAAGACTTCAAATTAAAAGTCCAAAACTGTTGGCTCTTGCAGAAAAAAACTATTTCAAAATGAGCTAAAACTGTTAATTTGTGCTGTGAACGTTTACCCTCCTGTCAGTTTACATTTAATGCAGTGGCTTCAGAAAAGCCATCTATATGTTCTTCTATCATCTACACTTACATAAATGTCAAACAGTAAATGGAAGTTCCTCATTTAGAATACTTTTATTTTACATAACAGTAAATTTATAATCAGAAAGTTAAACAGTGTGAGCCTGATTAGACGGCTGACAAACAAAAGCTCATTGACCCCAATGGTGTWTTTCCTACAACCAGTTTTATTAATTTTCATTCGCTCAGTCGCTGAATGAAATTATTTAATTAGTAAGAGTTTCTCTGTGCGACAACGGAGAGCCTGATTGGTTCAGCGAGACATACAAAAATACCTGCAGCCCAGGCACCTGGTGAGTGGACTGACGTCAAGCTGAGAGGGGACAGACGGTTGTGCGTCATTTGTAAAAATGTTCTCAGGGAACCTAAATGCCAGATCGCTCATGCTTTTAACCGATTGAAAGATTAGCTCACCTTTGGAGCGCTCGATGGAGCAGGAAGCACTGTGACATTTTATTACTGTGTTAGACAGCAAATCACTTATTCTTATAACTTCAAGTGCAACATATAAAACCATCCTTTCAWTTATAATTTAAAGCTTTAGTTTTTTTTAAATCATCAGCTTGGTTGAGTCCAAAAGGAGTTTTTTGTTAGAATTCCTTCAGTGGTTCATTAGATATTTTGCTAGCAAACAGAGATGATCGCAATAGTTAATGACAAAGCTTTAAACACAGATTTTATCCACTCAGTTAGCAGAGGGGATCAGTCTCAGCTATGAACACAACCAATTTTAGCTCAGCAGCARCAAAACTGACTGAGTTCTGGGATGTTTGTGTTCGTAATTGCTTTACGGTGACAGCCATTTTATATCAGGGAATTATTAATAATAAGTTTTGCTGGAAACCCTTGGGATTTGACATTTATGCAGGTATCACCCACCTTGTTCCAGATAAAGAAAACGTTTTTTATTAGCCTTTATTGCCCCATTGTGGATCTGTGTCTGATTACTCTGGCTGGTTTTCTCAAGGACCAGGATGTGTGACACACAAATATGAATTATGGAACTGAAAGTGAAAGTAATCAAATTAAATTTTTAATAAACCAAAATACAGTTTCAAAGCAAATAAATTCAGATACAAAACTTTAAGTTTCAAACCATTAAATTCAGTTTCAATTTAGTGAAATTTATTTTCAAACTGATGCATTCAATTTCAAATTATTGACATTCAAATTCAATCTGAGCAGTTCAAATTCAATTCCTGCTGGTATAAGATTTCTCCCACAGTTAAGGTCCTTGCTCAAGGTGCCCAAAGTGGTGCTGGTTGTTTCGGGGAGTTGAACCGGCGGCATTCCGATCACAGACTCATCTTCTCTAACCTCTGCACCACCCCTCCCCAAAATGTTCACACTGCTTCAACCAGGATCCGATCAATGTACTTCCTGATTTGAAAGGGGACACGCTTACACATAAAAACATCCCATCATCCCATCAAAGCAACAGTCTTTCAGCAGCAGCACGAAGATTTGCTTCATTAGTACAAAATGCTCGAATGAAGTATCTGAGGGATGCAAGGCAACAAGCCCAGTAAACCCACAGGAGAACCAACATCCACGAAACCTCAAAGAATCCAAATCTTACACTGGTGAGAACGATATCTGGCAGATAATAATAATAATGCGTCTGACCTGTGTGTCTTTGCTGCTAATAAATGCTATTTTACTTACAGTTTATTCCCTGATACAGCCCATTTACTGTCTTTTTAGCCGTAGGCTTGTGTTTAAAGACACTGTATAAAGAAGAAAGTCTTCTTTTTGTAGTTATAACCACCTGTGAGTGGGCGAATGCCAGGTTTTTTAATTAAAGCTTCAACGAAAAATAGATATTCAAAAAGGAAAAAATAAATAAACCCTTCAGTAACTTAATGGAACATAGCAATTCTTTACAAGCATTTCCTTTTGTACAGCACACACAACAATGACCTTTAACCTCCAATGGGTGGTAGATTTCTTCTCTCTAATATGTGTGGGTGAGATGAAACAAAGGGTGAAGTGGTGTAGACTGATCTGCTAGTGGCATRAACATGAAATATAGCACATAAATAAACACAGACTCTTAATAAAAAGTAAGGCTAAGTGAAGTTTGCATGATGGTACAATATTGCAAGGCCAAAATTAAAAATCACCATTTGCAGCCAAATATGTGCAGAAGATAACGCTTCAGATTTTTCTTTCATTGCTCATCATAGAAAACGATGATTCGTTCATTTTAAATGATGTGCAGACCCACATTACTTCTAAAAGCTTGACTCGCGACATTTTTTAACACCAAAACAGTTCATTTTCTTTCTTTTTTGTTTGTTCATTTTGTTTTGCTGGGTTTTTTCCTTGCAAATATGCATGATTTGAACACTTTACATTCTCATCTCGCCTCAAGGGCCTAAAATTGATTTGTATTCCGCTAATAGGTCCTCCACAAATCCACAAACGGTCACACTCTGCATTTATAATGCGACTTTAAAAAGGTTTTGTGTTAAACAGTGAAGAAAACTCCACTCCATAAGCTCTTCATAAAAGACACTTTCTATGACCTTTTGTAAAAGAAGGCATCCTTTATTGCCAGAGCATTAAAACTRAAACGAAGGCCATGATGCGAGATCTTTCGAGCTATTTTCAAACTCGCTCTTTCCCAGTGACGTGACCCCAGTTTGAGTTTAGCCGGACAGGTCGGCAGGTGAAGTTCAACATTCACGTCACAAATCCTTCCCACAAGGACACCTGTTGGCTTTAGGCGATAAGAGGCAGCTGTTTGCTGGCGCTCTATCAGCTGCACGTTTTGCAGGACAGCATTGAGACAAGAGGGCGGTACTGGGCCCGTTACCAAATATTTTACTGGGGCTGGGCCTCTGACAGATATTTTACAGATATGGCGGTGACCCTTCTCACACACCCACCCAACCACACACACACATGTTTATCTATCCTCATGGGGACTTTGCATTGACTTTCATTCATTTACTGGTCATTTATATAATCCTGACCCCTTACCCTAAACCTAACTACCCCATTACATACCTGACCCTAAATCTAGCCTGAACTCAGTTAGTCCTATCCCTAACCCCTGACCCATGAATGATTTTTCCTCTGATGGAGACCAAGCTTTTCTTCCCCATAAAGAACAATGATCAAAAAATACATAAATACGCCCACACACACACATGCACACACACAAACAGGAAAGAGAAACTTTCTGAAAGCAGAGGGTAAAAATAATTTTGATTTTTATTTCTGAGCAAATTAAACTGAAGCAATGAAAAAAAAACAAAAACAAAATAAAAACAACAGATGCCAACTGCTTGGAAAAGCTGCCTAATGAGACAGAGATTACAGAAAGCTCATGATTTGGGTCTTCGTAGGGTTTTAGTTTTGTTCTTGTTCTTGTGTTCTGATCTTACTTTATCAAACGACACACTTTGTTCTGTTTTGTGATTACTTTCTTGACATATTTTCAAGTAAATGCTGTCTATCTAGGAATGTTTGCTCCAAATATTGTAGAGCAGGGCTATTCAACTGGCGGCCCACGGGCCACATCCGGCCCGCAAGTGACCAAAGTCCGGCCCACCAGTTGGTTCATTCATCTCTTTAGCCCAAACACACGGTTTTCTACTTTAATTACTCTAAGTTCTTTTAGTCAAATATAGACATGTTTGGTATCTACAGAAACATCAGAATCTTGTCTACAAGCTGGTAAAAACCATTTATATGAACATCCAAGACAGTTAAAATTACAAGCAGCGGAAGATAAAACCATGAAAGTGAAAATAAAATTGGTTTAAAAAGTTGGCAAGTCAGAGCTGTCAAAATATTATTTGTGTTAAATAAAAGGCAGAATGTGTTTTCTTTTGTTTTATTAACACTACTTTTATTACATAGCGTTCTGTATGTTGTACTCATGATTAAATGCAGCAAAATAAACTAATTCTTTGTAATACTTGGTTTGTTTACATAATAACTTTAATTGCTGGATGTTCGGCCCCTCAGCTGTTGACCGGCAGTAACTGTGGCCCCCGGAGCAATTTAGTTGAATAGACCTGTTGTAGAGCTTTAAATTTTATTTCATTCCTCCCAATCCACACACACACACACACACACACACACACACACACACACACAC